CCCCAGTGGTTGTTCAGACAGGCCTTGGCTAAGGCACGTAGTCCTGGGTTTTTTGTGAATGCGAGCAGGATCCAAGGTGACTCCCTCTTTCTGCTGTATCTCGTGGATGTAGGCGCTTGGGTCTGGACAACCTTCGGGGTAGCCACTGGCCTCTTGCTTGATCTTGAAGAAATTGTTGACATACTTGGCAAACAGTCCTCCCTCTTGGGTGTCAGGGTCGTAGGTGGCAAGCGTGTCAAAGTGCCAAGCCTCAAAGATGTGAAGCACTTGATAGCCACACTTTTCAACAGCAAACTGAAGCTCTTTGCTGACGTAGGTACCGATCCATGCTCGGTCTTCATCCCCGTGGGGGCAGGGAGCATCCAACTGCTCTTCAGCACACGTACGGCACAGCGGAAAGAGCAGTTTGCCTTGACACTTGTAAGGAAGAACAGGATGATAGAGGTCGGTGGGTGGCAAGACTCGGCACTGGATCAGGCCGTGGAGCTCAAACAAGTCAGACACGGGAGGATGATCTTTGATCTCGGGGTGTCCCACGGGAAAAGTACCATACTTGCAGATGTAAGGGTACAGCGAGCAAACGTCCACATATTTGATTTCTTCATCTTCTTTGGCTTCGTAGTACAGTTTGGTGGCGTTGGTACGACCTCCAAAGAAAGCATCTCTAGGATCCAACGGGTCAGGCATGTAGGCATGGGGTCCTTGCAGGGTAGTCAGGAAGGCTCTCAGATCACCGTTGTCTTTCTGCTGTTTCAGAAAATCGCATTCCCAGAGGGTCACCACTTGGTCAATGTCGGGATGTTGACGTAACACACCCAGGCGGTACATGGTATGATGGTATCGTTCCCAAGGGGTGGTACCCAAGCTAGTATGGCGTTCACATCGGTCCGTTTTGTAACAGCGAGTACATCCATGCCAGAAACAGCCCAAGTATTCGTACACGGTACGTGTCTTGGCGTCGTAGCCATCTGCCATGTAACGACTTCCGTCAGCACAGTCAAAGCCTACTTCTCCACCATTCCGAGCATGTTGGATGTGAACCCCAGGGTGTTGATGCATGACCCAGTTGAGCCAGTGGAGACACTGAAGCGAGTAGCGACGCTGGGGACGATAACCTTGAGTAGGTAGGATGGCGATGGTACGGGGTTCCAAAAACTGTTTTCGGAAGGTGAGCATACAAGCCATGGGTAGAGTCACTGCTTCATAGAAAGGGTCCACGTTGTTCTGTTGAATGAATATGTTGCGGAATGCAGCACAGCCTCGACGCAAAATGTCCACATCACTCTGACAGTAGGTCAACAATTCTTCATCCAGATCAAACACAGTCCCTTCAGCCACCCGTGCATCGTACCAGGCCAAGAAAGCTTTACGTTCGGCAGGAAACATGCTGTCAGGATCGTAAGTAGACACGGGAGGATAAGGACCCACATAGCCTTGGTGAGCTTCGGTGTTGAAGAAGTGAGGGAAGTAGCCTTTCTTGAGTTCCGTCAAGGCAAACGTTTTTGGAAACTGCTTCAGAGCCATCGTGAGGAAGTTGAGTGAATCCTTGAAAACAAGACGTCCCACGGTCATCTGCAAGATGTGATTCCCACGTAGTGTGACCTGGGGTGCTTTCACGAGATGTTGATGGAAGTACTGTTGGAGCAAGTGTCCATCATACCCTCGGTAGTTGTGAGCAATGACCAACACGTCGTCATCATCGAGGGTAGGGGAAATGTCGTCTTCGTCGTCTTGTTCTTTGTCGTCGTTGTCTTGTTGTTCATCATCATCGTTCATCATCGGGTTCTGGTGATACCAGTTTGGGTTGTTTCGAGGCACGGCCTGACGGCTGCTGCTGCTGGGATGCCTTACGTTTCTTCTTCTGCTTCTCTTTCTTTTCCACCAGGGACATCAGCCAGTCGCCCATGTCCTTCAAGGTCGTCGATCCCCGAAACACTTTGATACGGCTAGGCCCTTCTCCTTCCTTACGCCAGGGGCACTTGTCGCACAACTGATCCGAAGCCTCGGAAATACATTTTCCACATCCCAGATGCACCACACACAAGTTGGGAACATGAGTTCCTTGATCTTGAGTACATTCAAAGTCATAGAAGATGAACTGACGCTGTTGCCGTTCTTTGTCTTCATCCATTTTTTCACCGTCTTCATTTAGTTTCGGTGGTTCGATGACGGACATGTAACACTGGTGGTTGGGTTTCAAGGGTTCTTTGCAGATCTTGCAGTCCCAATTCGTGCCACACTGGTGGTTGGCCATGCCCTGGATTTTTCTCACGTTGACTTTGGCATAGCAACGATGACAGGTGTGGATGGTGGAGCAGGTGCTGGGATGGTTGGCGGAGGCCCGTCCGATGGCGTTCAAAGCAGGTAGGGTTTCGGAACCACCCGCCACATTGGAGACAGGAGAGCCCTCCCCTGACCACGTCGCCACAGTATCCAAGACATTGACACCAGTAACATTGAAAGTCTCGGGTGCAGCGATGATTTTCAGCGTGGGCGTAGCCTTGGTCACACGTTTCACAATAGTAGGGATAACCTGTAAAAAGCAGGCATGGAGGTAATGACATCGTAATGGTGATGGTGATGATAGAGGTGAAGGATCTTGGTGGGTTGAGCCACTTCACTCTTGTACAGGAGACGATTCATCACCTCTTGGGAGTAGACTTTGAGCTGATAGTAAGGGGCCAAACGTTGACTGAACAACTCCCACGTGGGACGCCCTGTACAAGGACCTTCGGGGATCTTGAGTTGGCGAAACAAGCCCTTGGCAGCCTTCAGTTGCGCTGGTTTACGATGGTCACACAGGTATTTCCATTCCTTGGTCCATTCTTTGGTCACAGGATCGGGTTGGTGTTCGTGGTGACTGGCCACGACCAGGGCACGGGCAAAGCAGAGCTGATCCTCATTCTTGATTTGAACGATGCATTGTTTCTTTTCCAGGAAAGCGTTTAAGCCAACGAGGTGTGTTGCCCTGCCGTGTCCCTCACCGATACGATCAGGATCCTCTACATGCAGTAAGAAAATGTCCATGGTGTCATCGATATGTAAGTCGTGGTTGCTTTGTTGTACTTTTTCCACTTCGCCCATGATGTGTTCCCCCTGGAGGTCACCCATCCGCCGAAACGTGATTCGAATGTCTGTATCCAGGGCGGGGTGTTCCAGGGCCAATCCCACGCGATCACCATCCTGGCCACCCACATCGTCTCTCAAATCTGCTAACACGGCATCAAACTGTTCTCTGAGAACGACGGGAAGGTCTTCAGGCTGTTGACGCTGCAGCCAAACAGGGTTGAACTTCAGGTGGTAGCGCTGGGTACCAGTCCGGAATTTCTTGGTTGTTTTTTTGAGTCGTCCGCTCCAACTCGTAGGGCACAGGCTCCTCTTCAAGTTCATCTTCGTTCATTCGTGGTGACGACATGGTGAGAACTGGTCAGAGCCACGCTGAGCCTGGTTTATATACATCACGTCACCCTATGACGTCACAATAGGTCGTGCCAGTGCGCACCATGAGCTCATGTGTTATTTATAGGAATGATGTCATACCCCATGACGTCACACTAGCCTGTTGAGTCAGGAGGAGAGTGGTGCGAACCGGATGCAACCGGTGCGAACCAGAGGCGTCAAAGTGACGTCATCAACCCCAGCTATATAAATTCAAGGTTTTCCAGCACTCCTCATCAGTTGCTCACTGAAACTGGAAGCATGCAGTCGTCTCCCGCCTCCGCCTCCGCCTCCTTCCGTTGCCGCCTGTGCGAAACAGATGACCACAGTTATCTACACTGTCCCAAGGTGACCTGTACCGAGTGTGGTGCTCAAGGTCATCGCTATTACGTATGTCCCAAGAAGACCAAGGACAACAACAAGCACGATAACAACACCTGCTACAACTGTGGAAGAAACGAAGGTCATCTCAGTTACGCCTGTCCACATCCCTGTCGTCACTGTGGTGAAGAGGACCATAAGAGTATGAACTGCTCTAACAAGGGCCAGAAACGTCCGGCTCCCCCCACCTACCAGCCAAGTGAACCGCCAAAGAAAGTGAGTAAACGTGAAAGCCAACATTTACTGGCTCTACTCCATGACAAGGTCCTCCTCGTTCAAGATCGCATAGACACCATGTACTCTCTACTTCAACGCATCTTGGAGTTTGTCGAACCCATGGACGATTCCAGCAGCACGGCCTCCAGTGCACCACCATCACCACCATAGATACCTCGGTGATCTCTCACCCACTCATACCAACGGCCCTTTTCAGGGCCACCCACCTGGCTCGAAAGAATGCTACATCCAATGTTGTTTTAACCACACACACACACACACACACTAACACTTGTCTAGCCACGCCATCGTGTCCGCCTCACCCCCTCTCTCCCTCCCTTCCCTCTCCTTTCCTCTCCTTCCCTTCCCTTCCCTCTCCGTCCCGTCCCGTCCGCCGCTCGTCCGTTCCGCCATCTTGAAAGGCGTCTACGCTCGCGAGATACCGCGAGACTCCACGAGATCTCGCGAGATCTCACGCGATCCCACCGGATGGAACGCCATCTTGAACCGCGTCCGCCATCTTGGCCCGGAGGTGACGTCATCGTCATGCGCGCGCAACCACCGGAACCGGACGTGACGCCATCGCGATGCGTGCGCACCCACCGGAACCGGAAGCACCGGAACCGGAACCCGAGTGATCTCCCCCTGACCGGAAGTGACTGATCCAAGATGGCGGCGCCCTATGGGCGCCGCCATCTTGAAAAAGGCGCCAGGGAGACGCTGCACACTACTGTAGTTTATTGTTGATAATACTGCCAAGATATTTGTGCTGTGTTACAATTTCGACAGATTCACTCTTGATTTCAACAGGTAAAATCCACAAGAAGTTCATTTGTTTTCACAACATTTGGCTTCGACAATCATTAGTGTATAGAATGAAAATCACGGGCAAATGACACAGCCCTGAGGTGCTCCAGTATTAGTGTACATCGTTGATGAGTTTGGCTGATTCACGTATTGGGATCGGTTAATCAAGAATTGCTCAGTCCACAGTGAAAGGAGGTGTCCACCGAAAATATCAGAGTATTTACCATGATCCTTTCAACACACTTCATGGCTAAGGACGTGAGGGCAACTGGTCGAAAGTCGTTCAATCCAGATGTGTTGCTTTTCTTAGGCTCGGGGATGACTTTTGAGGTTTTCCATATATTGGTACGAAAGTTGATAAAGTCGACTAACACATGGCCCAGCTGATCACAACATCATTGGAGGACAATTCCATCCAGTCCATCAGGTCCTGATGCTTTCTGTATATTCAGCTTGGAAAACTGGGTTTTGACTATCTCTGGTGCAATAGTGATAGCATCCTCGTTGTCCGGTATGATACCGTCTATGACAGTTTTGCGCTGGTCCGTGAAGTCAAAGGTATCGTCTGTTGAATAAAACTGGTTTAGATCTTCAGCGTACTTCCGGTCGTCTGCAACCTTGATATGTAATGACTTGTTCTGCAGACCGATCATGGTCTTCACGCCTTATCACGCCTGACGACTGTTGTCCTGGTAGAATTGTCGCTCCAATTTGTCCTTATAGTCTTCCTTACATTTCTTCATATCTTTGAATGGATGTCAGTTTGTTTTAACAATTCGTCCGTCACCCATGGTTTGTTGTTAGGATATATAGTTATTTCCTTCTTCGGTGTGATTGAGTCTACACAGAAAGTTATGTAATCAGTTATGGCACAGGGGTCAGATGAATTATCGAAAAATGCGTCCCAATCGTACATTCAAAACAACCCTGTAATTGCTTGATTCAATCCGTGTCAGTCTCTGTATATATACTGGAACAAGGTAAACACAGTTATAGTCTTACGAACAAAGAGGAGCTTTTGATTTCCGTGTGGAATCATCTTTAATATTGCCGTAGCATAAGTTTTCCGTTGGCGTGGGGGACATTTGACGTTTTGCTGATAGTGAGGCATAACTGTTCTTAGTGACACACCGTTAAAGTCGCCGAGCACAAGCTTAGGAGCGTCGGGTGAGCTTTTACACGTGATTGTAGATGATATCAGCTGCGTTGTTGTTGTTGTTGTTATTGTCAGCACTTGGTGGGATATATGTGAGAATCGTGAATATCTGCCCGAACTCACGGGCCGTAGTGACACAGAGAGTAGTTCAATGTCAGGAGTGAATATCTTCTTCAAAACTGTCGTTGCTGATGGTATCATTGAGCCGGATTTCAGTGAAACATAACAGGTAGCTGTATTTGCTTTGGGGATGACACCCTTCTTCTTGACGGTGAAACGTTTTACCACCCTTACACCCTGATCTACAAGCTCCGAGGCAATGTCCCCCTCGGACATATTACACAAACACCGTACCCTGGCTCAACAGGAACTCAGTGGCAAATGTTCTTACAGACAAACGATTTAGAGATTGCTGTCTCCTTGGAAATAGTGAGTGAGTGAGTTAAGATTTACTCTGGTTTTAGCAACATTCCAGCAGTATCACTGCGGGGGACACCAGAAATGGGTTTCAGTCATTGTAACCATGGGGGAAGGGGGGAGGAGGTCGAACCCGGGTCTTCTTCTTGACGAGCGAATGCTGTATAACACAAGGCTACACCACCGCCCGCTTTAGAAACAGGGGGTGGGGGTGGGGGAGGAGGTCGAACCCGGGTCTTCTTCTTAACGAGCGAATGCTGTATAACACAAGGCTACACCACCGCCCGCTTTAGAAATAGGGGTGGGGTAGGTGGGGAGGAGGTCGAACCCGGGTCTTCTTCTTGACGAGCGAATGCTTTATAACACAAGGCTACACCACCGCCCCGCTTTAGAAATAGCAGTCCCCTAGTTTAGCAGGTAAGTGGTCATATAAGCTTCAATCACAACAGATCTAACTCATGAATCAATGACTGTTTGAAGAACTATTGTCAGATGTGCGGTCAAGTTGGTCAATAGGTCTCGAGATGAACCAGCTTGCTGGAGTGGCATGATGAGAAGAAAATGACAAATAAATTGGAGATATACATTATATGGAGGTCAGCATCACTGGATTGGCCCATGAGCCACCGCCTTCTGGCTGAGGACGTCCTGTTAAAAAAGTTAAATAACATTTAGTTGCATATAATGCCAGTGGCAGGACCAATGCTAGATCCTTGTTCTTCCTGCTACCCGTCTAGGTGAAGTCAGGGTCGAAGTGTTGTGGTGTGAAAAAGGAACACTGTTCCTGGCTCCGATGCCCTCAACCACCAGAATATCATCCTTTCCCACGGCAAACAGGTTGCCCGATTTGGCCGCCTCTTACCACCAGCAATGGAGTGATGTGGACACATTCTACCACACAGGGGAAGAACTATTACCGCTACCAAGCACTTACAACGAGGATGTTGCTGTTCACGAGTGGCCATATCAGAAAGAAGCACACAATCTTGTCACAGTCAATCCATTATGCATGGCGGCCATCTTGGATTTTGTCGACCCCAAGTCTAATCACATTCTTTCCATCTTTCATGGTGGCTATTTAGGATTTCTTCCGGCCCACTAAGTCTTATCACCCATTTTCCATAATGGCCTCATATTACATTCGAATTTAAACTGTACACAAACATTTATTTAGCTTAATATTAGGAATCGCTGAGTGTGTCTGTTAAGGTGGAGATTGTATGTAGTTTAATGTCATGGTCTCATATGACGAAACGATGACTGAAGTCTGATGCAATTCCTTATTTGGAAGTGTACCTTGTGTAGACGAGTTCGTCAAGTCGAGTTGGTTCGTGTCAGCATAGAGCTGCACCTGGCTGACCCGCTGCCGTGCTGACGGAAGCACAATACATGTACGTGCAGCTACATGTATAACATTGCCATTGGATGAAGTCAGTCAACCCGTGTGTTCAGTACGCATGTCTTCTGTGATCAGTATAGAACTTCTGTACCATGGACCTCTTGATCTCAGCCATAGTGTATTGTATAGCTACACCACGGTCTGGAGCTGCCCTCGACAAGAACTCTCTGAATGATTGACTCTTTGCTACTTTAGCCGCGCCTACGTTTAACAAACAGAACTTTCTGTCTCCATTGGATGTAAACCTTCTGAAAGACAACAACCATTTGTAGATTCCGTTTACATTCCATCGGCAGCTTGTGAGAGAGTGATGGAATCGATTGTATCATCCCTTCAATTTCGTCAACTATTTGTGACAGTGTAATGTCGTCTATAGTATTATCTCACTCTGGACAAGACATGGGGGCAGTCCCAAACATGATTTTAAATTCAAATATCCCGCGCAGATTTCTAAATTTGAATGCAACATATGGGTACAAAAGCAGTTACTTCATCCGATCACTCGAGCTTGGTCCAAATACATGACGCCGGTAGCCAGGCCGTGATGTATTTGGGCCAAGCTCTCGTATTATACTGAAGTAAATACTCCCTAACATTCAACACACGGTATATGTATATGTAAACAGTTTCAGGGAGTATGTGTAAAAAAACTCTCCTAAAACCAGGGAATATGTATAATTCTTGAAAATTTTAGTCATTATGTATATTCCCTGAGTGAATCAGACTTTACACATATTCCCTGATTATACATTTTCCCTGTAAAATATACACGTATACAGTAATATGTTGGATATAAAGTATAGGATGGATGTGGTCCTCAATAAACTGATGCCTATGACGTCACTTTGCTAGAAACCTCGGATGTGTTTGTCACTTGTATTTCTGAATCCCATTTGAGCTCAAATCTGAAAGGAAGCTGTTTTATCAGACATGTGCTCAATGACACAGAAGTGGATAACTCATGCCGGCATCTTCAGGAAAGGTTAAAATCTGAAGGTTTTATAACTTGCATGCAACATCACCTTGACAGCAGATACAGACCTAACATAACCACCTCATTCCAACCCCTCTTAACACAATACAAGAGGTTTGGAGAAAACTACATATGGTACAAAACCTCCTCTTGCTACCTATAATGTTACCAATAGATAATCAAACACAAATTCTGTAAACAGTACTTTCCTTAAAAAAATATCACAGGAGGCATTGTTTAATTCAATTCGACAAAAACCAAAAGAAACGACTACAAAAGAAACACGCTTAAAACGATTATTGGGCTGATATATCACTTGATGAAAAATGGGGTATTCCGATAATGTGGCACCGAAACACATTCCAGACCAGGGAATATCCGAGATACTGTTTCCATGTACACATCATCTATACTTGTGTATTGACCTGCATTGGTAATCGATATTTTACATCTTCCAAACACAATAACCAATCCAAGTGGTTGTTAAGTGGCTATACGTGGTTTGTGTGTGACACGTCATCGCCGTGAAAAATAAGCAGCTTTTATCAAATCGATGGTCTTCAACATTAAAACGATATGAAATAAAACCTGAAAATCTAGTTGTTTACATATTGAATTAATTTATAAAATGAAACATTTGTAAGTTGAATTAAGACTGGATTCCCTGAGTTGTGTGATTTAGTCGGCCGTACAGCTAGCCCTGATGTATGCCACCGTTATGCTGTACACGTGACACCAAGATCGGGTCCACGTCAGCCTGGACACCGGGTGTTGACAGCAGCTCATCTGGACATGCATATCTGAGATGTAATGTGAGATGAGACGTCATAACTAATGTGCAAACGTAAAAAATATCTCATCTTTGGGAAAAATACTTGACTGGATAAGCGCCCAAATTAATCGTCGGGCATATTATTACTTACGGATTAAAATACATGAGTACAAGAGTGTTCGGTTGATCCTGGTACAGTCAGGTAGGCTAGGCTCCTCATCAGCAGGGAGGTGGGGTAGCCTAGTGGTTAAAGCGTTCGCTCGTCACGCTGAAGACCCGGGTTCGATTCCCCACATGGGTACAATGTGTGAAGCCCATTTCTGGTGTCCCCCGCCGTGATGTTGCTGGAATATTGCTAAAAGCGGCGTAAAACCACACTCACTCACTCACTCCTCATCAGCACACGGCTGTTGCCCTCTTTACACCAGCATCGACCAGCGAAGGGACATTACCCCAGGACGTGCTACCCAGTGGAAACCCCACCAACTTTCCGGAGAATGTTTTGGACTCCCCAATACTGCGGCAGATCTATCAGTTCATTGTCTGGTTTGTTGTGTTTATCCGTCATGTGAACATAAATGCAGGTTATATCGCAACTATTAGCATAATAGAAACACCGTCTATACTTATATCAGCGATCCGCTTCAGAATTCATGGTAGGAAGACTTGAGAGTATTGATGCGCCTTGTGTGGAATATCAAGATAGTCACTTCTGCAAACAACAGTAACCGCAGGTTGATCAGCTCAGGATGGAATTGGATTACAGACCCCCAGGAAGACTCTATGTTAGTTGCTAGTTCCATTACAAACAAGTTGAACAACAGAGAAATGTTAAAGATATTACATAATCTATAAACACGTTCCGTAATTTAGGTCTATATACTAGGTCATGCTTTCTTAAAGTCATGCTTTCGTGGGGCGGTTGGGTAGCCTAATGGTTAAAGCGTTTGCTCGTCACGCCGAAGACCCGGGTTCGAATCCCCACATGGGTACAATGTGTGAAGCCCATTTCTGGTGTCCCTCGGCGTGATGTTGCTGGAATATTGCTAAAAGCGGCTTAAAACCGAACTCAGTCAGTCAGTCATGCTTTCGTAATTGCATATATTTCCCTGTCTCTTAAACCCGTTACGTTGGACGACTGCTTGTAAAGTATATATCATCAAACCTCAATGGTACTCAAGCCTTAAAGACACCTGCTTGTAAAGTATATATCATCAAACCTCAATGGTACTCAAGCCTTAAAGACACCTGCTTGAGTTGTACAGTATATCCACTACTGTTGTCCCAGTAACTCACCTTCTGCCCAGTACTGCTGCAGGAACCATGATACCTAACAGTGTAGTCCCTCTGTAGTTGTTCGCCAGCAAGTATCGCCTTTATGTGCCTGGTATAAGAAATGCCAGTACACCTGCAGGCTAAGCAGTAGATAATTACAGATTCCTTTATGACACAACACAGTATTTTGCAAGTTTGAAGAATTCTGCAATGCCGAAAGCATGTGATTTTCATTTCTGCTATAGCTTGTAATATTTCCTCTTTAGATCGGACAGTCTGGTGCACCTAATGTTATGTTACATTATGGCTGTACCTATCGGTTTCTCTGGTAGTGACACCATCACCGTCATTCTCATCCAGATCTCCAGGAATGTCAAACAGACTTTTAAAATGACCTCTTTGATTGACATTCTAGAAATTTGATTGGCATTCTAAAATTATCCTCATTCTTCAGACGTTTAAAATGTTTAAAATCTGCAAATATATTTGAAGTCGTAGGTTGTTTTAGAGTTCCCCAAATCGTTTGACATCCGACATAGTCTTTCATATTCTCAGAGTAACATGCTGGTGGACATGTTTCGTTGACTGCTAATGAAAGACTATCACTGCACCGTCTTTATCATTTAACATTTAAGGAGCAAGTATTGGGGTTCAGGAGCGAGCATTGTGGTTCAGGGGCGAGCATTGTGGTTTAGGAGCGAGCATTGTGGTTCAGGAGCGAGTATTGTGGTTCAGGAGCGAGCATTGTGGTTCAGGAGCGAGCATTGTGGTTCAGGAGCGAGCATTGTGGTTTAGGAGCGAGCATTGGGGTTTAGGAGCGAGTATTGTGTTTCAGGAGCGAGCATTGTGGTTCAGGAGCGAGTAGTGTTGTTCAGGAGCGAGCATTGGGGTTCAGGAGCGCGCATTGTGGTTTAGGAGCGAGCATTGTGGTTCAGGAGCGAGCATTGTGGTTTAGGAGCGAGCATTGTGGTTCAGGAGCGAGCATTGTGGTTTAGGAGCAAGTATTGGGGTTCAATGGAGATGGTGTTGGCTCTGTGCTTCATATAAGGCCATGCATATGATTCCAAGCAGGAGTAGTTCAAACATATTCTTTTTCAACTTTTACGAATCGAGTACATTTCAGCACACAATAACAACTTTCTCAGGTGCGACCGTGTCACGTGATTGCAGTACATCCTTCTACTAACGGCTCACCTTTATCGTTGTTTGTTACAGGCAATTAACCACAATCCATTATTCCTACTCCGTCGTTGAACTATTAAATAATTTTCCCTGTTGTAAGTTGTACAACATATTTTCAAAAGCGGTGTTCATGAATTTACCTAGACTCTTATTGTTTGGAAGAACGGTTTCCTAGATGTATACACTACACGATACAAGAAAACCTTTTACAAGTTGGACGAACATGAACCCATCACGCGCTTTATGGGTAAAAGTTTCCTTTCTATTGTCCTTCGTGACGTGTCAGGGCTAATTCAGGTTCCTTCGTCAGGTTAGATAAACAAGAAGTTGCTTAAAAACAGTGCCTTGGGGTATTTTATGACATAAACGCAAAACCAGTGTTGCAGTGATGTAATTGCTACGTTGTCCAAGGTTGTAAGGGCCTTAGTGTCTGTTTAGTGAAACTACAAACACTGGGTGTTACGTTCGACATATCAGTTGGTTGCAGAAGATAAACACGGTTGCACGATCGATGAAGGTGAGGAGGTACCCAGGACACCGTGGAAGTGCTACCTTGCACAAGTGTCATGATGTGTGGTTCACCTTTGTTATGTCCATCGTGAAATGGTTCAGGTTCACCATACTTAGAAACTTTGACGAGCACCTTTTGATGTACGCAGATCGGCGTATCAAAGGCAAACATTTCTCTCAATATGGCATTTGAAAAGCAAAACTATA